AGGAAGAACTTGGGTGATGGGGACGTTGCATTCAGCCTGTTTCACAGTCAGGAAATCACTAGTTTCTGATCTAAATTTAATCCGCTTCATGCAGATCTATCAGGTTTTGAATGACAGCATAAAATATTATTAATTTTATTGAGAATGAGGTGCTGTTTCAGCATGCTTTATTATAATATAAAAGAATAGTCGAAAAAATTTAACTAATTTTCACCATTGAGTAAAAGAGTAATGGCAAGCTTGTGAATAGCATCAACAAGTCGATTTCTTCCGAAAATCATCCAATTACAACAATTTCTTACCTTCTATAAAACCGCAAATTACAGATTTTTGACAATGTTAGATATTTCGGTATGGTGCGCAATGGCTCATTACAGTATAGGAGTCAGACAAGGTCTAAATAGCTCGATAACTAGGGAAAATACCTGTATCGCGTATAGGGAAATCTACCGAAAGAAACGGATCGGAAGGAAGAAGGACTACGTACCCGAGGCAACGAGAATGAGAAGCAGTAATGAGCACACTACTAAGCGGAATTCGGAGGAGGATTTCTAGGGACCATTATCCACTATGTCGTGCGGGGTTGCCGCTGGTCGGTTATTGAACATTACAATGAACACTGATTTTAACAGAGTACTCCAAGGAAGAGTGGATATGGAAGACTGAGAATCGCATAACCTGGACAGTTCAGCGGCAAAAAATGGTTATCTGTGACGAGAAAATTTAATCTGAGTGGTTCTGTGGGCGGAAATGTTCGTTGTATAAAGTGCCAAAATAGCCCGTATTCACATTCGACCATTGTTTAGACTTCGAATTGTAGTAATATGGAGAGTAACTGTTCCGCGTGACGTGTTGAACTTAAAACTTTTACAAGAAAATGTCTTGCCTTAAAAAATTGCCTTTTGTAAACTGCTAAGCCTTTCAGTATATGTCAAGAATTTGTAGTTCTAAGCGACATTTATTGCTACGCCCATTTAGGACGAGAAGTTATGACTGCCCGTCTTCTTATTCTGCACTTTGTCTTATTGCCAATTCACCTACGCCATCAAATAAATAACGGGTCATGTATTCCATGGTCTCAGTGTTACGTTCTTGCAGACCACATGGTGTCCTCGCGTTGAACAAATCACGTGTTCCTTCCTTACTGGGACATATAAGTTAGCCGAGGCCATCCACGGGTGTAAAGTAAATTAAGAAAACATCGCTCGAAACGTTCAGAATGCTTTATAAATTCAATTTTCTACTTAGGTTCGCGTATATCAAGCAGAAACGAAATCTCAGACCTTGTACGGAGAGAGAGAGAGGAATGCGCTTTATTTTGAAATCATATGTTCAAACTTTTCAGCAAAAAGTTGGCTCTATTCACTGTGGGCAGTAAATAAGTTAAGAGATTATTCAACAGTCAAAGAAACGATTATTATGGGGATAGTTCAAGTCTGAGCTTCTGTATTTCTGTCTCTTCGCACGTAAGATAGCGCGCTAGGAATGGCAATACAGAGGCTCGATAAGCCGATGTGCGACGGGGTATAAGACGGAAGTTGCGGAGCATCGGGCGGGAAGACTTGGCAGACATAAGATCGGAATGTAGGGGATGGGCAACGTCATCTAGAATTCGACCAGCAAATTGCTTGACCGCATTGAAGTGTCGTTGTAAGATTGTGTCAACTAAAAAAATATAAGAAACGCCAGCAGCAGAAGAGAGCATGCGGAGGATTCGTTTCAAAATTAAAAGATCCTTTTTTAACAAAGCAGGAAAAACGACAGGAGAACAGTATAGGATAAGAGGAAGAATGCAGGCATCAATGAATCGCCAGACTAAGGGTTTAGGTGTGTGGTAGGAACGCAAACGACGAATGTAGTAAAGAAGTTTACGAACTTTAATAAATAGGGACTCAATATGGAGGGAAAAAGGAAGATTTGAGGACAAAGTAACGCCGAGATACCTGAAAGAGGATACCTCATTAGGAAGAATGTCAGAGGGATCAGGGTAAGGAGAGGGCCGCAGTCGAAAAATACACTGAACGGATTTTTGGTTGTTAATTAGGAGACCATTTTCCTCCGACCACGCTAGGACATGGTTTAGGCCATCCATTAGAGACCGGAGGTGTGTCTGACTTTTGAGAGGGTGTCCAACAACCACATCGTCAGTATACTTGACCAGAAGACAGTCATTAGGGGACCTGAGATCATCAGTGTGGAGGGAGAAAAGGTGAGGGGATAGAATGGAACCTTGAAGAACACCGCAGTCGTTGGGAAGGGTCGAAGACTTCCGCTTGCCAGATTGGACAAATTGGGTGCGGAAGGTAAAATAATCGCTCAGCCAAGAGACGACCCAGCCTGGAGAGCCACATGCGGAGGTTTTGGAAAGGAGAAGAGGGCGCGGGACGGTATTGAAGGCGGAGGAGTAATCAAGAAAAGCGCACGCATACTCGCGGCAACCCTTGTCTAATGCTTTTAGAGCAGAGTGGACCACAAGAGCGACAGCATCTAAAGTACTCCGTTTAGCTTTGTATGCGAATTGTAAGGGGTCGGAAAAACTGGAAGAAAAAGGCTTTATGATATCTAGGGCAACTCTTTCAGCAAGCTTTAGTATTGCAGAGGAGCAGGCAATTGGGCGAAAAGATTTAGGACCAAAGTTAGCAGGCTTTTTAGGGATGGGAGTGATTCTCACTGTACGCCAGGCGTCCGGAATCTTGGACTCCATGAAAGACATATTGATGAAGTGCGTTAAAATAGGGGCTATCTGAGAACTGCAAGATTTAAGAAGAAAAGGCGAGACACCATCCGGTCCGGCAGCTGTTGATCCACGGACCTTTTTAAGGTGTTTCTCTACTGTTGCCAAAGACACGGGTTGGAATGTACTCGGTGATAGAGGAATGTCTTCTAAGGGAAGATGGGAGTCATTGTGACTAAATATAAAATTTCTATTTAGGGAGTCTAAATCTGCATTCACATGCACCAGCGTGTTGCGATGGCCAGTGAGACGCTTAAGATTTTTCCAAATCTCAGCTGAGGAAGGGGGGAAAGGGGGGGAGTAAGAAGAGGAAAAAAGTTGGCTGACAAACAGGCTATTTAGCCTGTCAATCTCTGTTTTTATTAAGACGGTAACGTCCTTAAGGTTATCACGTAAGCCTAGCTTGTAAAGGAGTTCTTTTTTACGTCTTAACGATTTCAGATAGGGGGAAGAAATTCTATCCGGTCGTACCATAACAGTATCAAAAGGGCAGCAAATATCGAAAATTTCATTTAAAAACGCTGTCAGGTTGGAAGAACAGGATTCAACATTAGAATGTTCAAGGAAAGTGGGGATAGTAAGAGAAGACTTAGGGGTAATATGTGTAAGTGACCACCCAGGGCGTCCATTCATTTAAAAAAACGTAGTATAGGGAAGACTGCTTGGAGGATTTTAGCGATTATCTTGATTAACGTGCGTTGTTTCTTGGCGCTCCAAAAATTATTTCAGTGGCCGAACTGTTAATCTACATGAGTAACGGTACTTTTATACGGGATGCGTCATGATGATATTTCACGATTGTTCATCTGAAATATGTCAGAAATGTTGCTGTCATAGTAGAACTGCACTCAGGAAAGTTCAAATGAACGTCGATTTTTTGTCAAGAATGTCTAATGCACGACTTTTTAAGAGATATAAAATCCCAAAATGCTCCGATTTGCCTGCCCGAAAACGACCACCAGCAGAAAAATAGGCTGTGAGTAAACGGTTCCGATGATTTATATTTTTCAGATCATTTTTCTTTAAGAAGAACACAGACATTCACTTCTCGAGAAAAACTCGACGGCGACAAAACAAACTTCCTGCGTTTAGTGCTGTGGGTTCGAATCCCACTAAGGCCGCCGAGTTTTTTTTGCAACTGGGTCAAATTAAGTTCTCTTAGGACTTGCTTGATCAGGTTTATCTCAGTTGGGAGTAGACAATACATTATAATAACATGTACAACATATATGACGCATACAATATATCATGTAAAATATCTAAGGAAAGGAAATATCGTTAACTCAAATGCAAGTCATTCGACTAACTGGCACCATGGCTGTCAGATGAAAATATTTTCGGCTGAGACGAATCATTTCATGTGTATTACTTCAATGCCTGCTACTTTTCAATAAGGAGATAAAAGTCCGATTTTTAAATAGTTTATGGGAGCATTTGCCCTGTTTAAAATGCTGTAAAGTAGCTGATTGAAGTAAACGGCATCCAGTTTGGTTAAGAAAGCACCGCAGTCTAAAATATCAATAACGACAGTTGGATATCACGATCAAAATAAATTCTCGCTTAAAATGAATTCATAGCTTATAATTTTTACAGAACGGCGGTTAAATGCAAATCGACGTTCACAGAACGGAGTTTAGTGCGGATGTTAGTTCAGACAAGAGGTCGGGATTCTCGTGAGCCCTGACATTCAGTCCAAATATTAACGCGGAATTGCACACAGCTTAGACGCATATTTTGTACAGAAGTAATTTAAGAAAGCCCCAGATATTTCCACAATTTGTTTGAAAATTCGTAAAGCAGTTTCATGGGACAAAATGTACGAACTCATTGACATTTAAAAGACCGTAGATTTGCTTGCTGTCCGTTTTTAGAAATACGACAGTTCAACCGTCGTTGACAACGATGTCCACCGTGTGCTCAACACAAGAGCGAAGCAGGCATGGTGACTTGCGCGTGAGTTAGTTTATAGTGATAGTAGACTTGCGCTGCATTTGCCGCATTCTCTCCTCCCCACTCCCCACCTGGACCCGGTGTCAAGACAGAGTCAAGAAGACCGGAAGCGGGGGTGGATCAGGTGGATGGCGCGGCCGAGCCCGCATCCTGGCAGTCCACTCCACACCCCTGGTCCACACAGCAAATGAACAGGTTCTTAACCAACAGGAGCAATAGCAGCGATAAAAACAACGCCAAAACAGAGGTCAGAAGGACGATGATGATTGGGCAGCCAGGCCCATCACTTGCATACCCAGTGGGAGCGTAAGCGCATCTAGTGGCAGGGAACCAGGTGTCGGGGAACTGTCAGCGCATACCAGGCTGCGATAGCCATGGTTTGCTGATACTGGCGTAGCACACGTTTGCAGACCTTTTGACCTATACGGGTGACACGTGGTCCTGCCTGGGCCGTCACCTTTCGAGGTTAAGTAACCAAACAGTCGTCAACTGTGAGGCACTACCCTTAAAGTACACACTCTCCTCACATGCATTAGAGTGCCACAGATCGCTTGAGAAGGGGCCGTAACAGCCTGCCTCTCAGCCCACCAGTCCGCCACTACAAACAGCCCACACGACTAGGCAGACTGCGTTGGGGCGTCAGTCGGCTGCCTTCCGAGCCACGGCGCTCGACGCACCGCCTACGTCTCAGACTCCGATTACACATTCAGCGGAGGAGCCTATAGAGAAGGAGCCTAGACGCACACTCCCCACTTGCGTGGGAGGTGACAGTTGGATGCTTGTGCTGGGGGACGTTGATATGCGGTGAGGTGCTGGTGAGGGAGGGTGTGATGGTGTGAGGCAGCCGGTGGTTGTCTACCGCGGGTTTTCGTGGACGTGCATGTGGCCTAAAAGACACTGGCGATGAATAAATGTGCGAGCGCAATGTGGACAGTGAAGCCGAATGCGGCGGGTGTGGGTTGGTGCACTGGGCACTGGTTCGCCAGTCTCTATGAACTGAAATCGCAAGCGACCTACCAGGCCAGTGCGTGAGGTGAAGATGCAATCGCAATGGGGACAGCTGTAGACTAAGTCCTCATTGCTGACGTTGACGGTGGGACGGTTGATGTTTTTTGGTATGTCAGAATTGTGTGCAATGGTGTTGGGCACAGCAGCCGCTGTAGCGGATGTTGAGGCAATGGAGGAGGAGGAGGAGTAGGAGGAGGAGGAGGAGAATGGTAGTGGGGATTCGTTGGAGCACTCCTTGTAAGTTATCGGCGTGGAGGACGAGGCAGGTGTGGGCGGGGGACAACGGCTGGTGTAGACCGGGTGCTGCAGTTGGTGCAAAGACGTCTTATGAGGCTGACTGGTGCCCAGAACATCCGTTGACACCGCAGGCAGGTTGAGGGCGGTCGACCGTTAGCGTTGAGGGGTGGGTGCAACTGAGATTTGCGAGCCTCGTGTTTGACTTTGGCGACGGTGATGCGAGTGGTTTCGTAGATTGCCACGCCGGTCTTCACTGTTCTTTGCCAGGTCGGTCGGTCCCGGGCGAGGTCTTCCCAGTTGGCCGGGTTGATCTGCAGACGCTTCGGGGAGGTCTTCAGAGTATCCTTGTAACGCCGGACTTGACGACTCTGTCGGCGGGAACCTGCTGCGACATTTCCTAAGAATAGCAGTTTGGGTAAACGCTCGTCGTCCATCCGCACGAGGTGGCCGCTCCAGCACAGTTGTAGATGTCTCAGCATGGCGTAGATGCTGAGGGCTCCCGTCCGTTCCAGTACGTCTGTGTCCTGGATCTGGTCCTGCTACCTCAACTTCAGTATCCGTCGAAGACAGTTGGGGTGGAAGTGGTTGAGTCTCCGCGCCTGCTTCTTGTACACCGTACAGGTCTCTGCTCCGTGCAGCAGCGCCAGTAGGAAAATTGCCTTGTACATCTTCAACTTGTTGTTGAAGTAGAGGCCATGACGGTTCCAGACGGTGTTCTTCAGCCAGCCGAAGACTTGACTGGCTTTCGAAATTCGGCGAGTCACTTCATCGTCGATGTTGATTGTGCGGGAGAGGGTGAGGCCCAGGTGGGTGGCGTTGTCCACAAATTACAGTTGAGCGCCATTCACGTTGATGTGGGGTGCGACCTAGGCAGCGTCAGGTGGCGGTTGATGCATAACCACAGTTTCCCCCGTGTTTATGACCAGGCCGAAGTTGTCGCAGTCGGCGGCGAAGAGGTACATACTCCTTTGCATGTCCCCTTCAGAGTGTTGATACGGCGATCGTCGGCGAATAGAAGTTCATGGATAGTAGCTGTGGGAACACACGACTGGAAGTGCATCCGTTGGTGGTTGAGGAGTTGTGCGTCCGTCCTGTAGGCGCTACGGATCCCACGGCGAGCGTCACGGTAGGTGTTCATTAACATGGCAGTGAACATGAGGCTGAAGATGGTAGGCGCGACGTCGCAGCCCTGCTCCACTCTGTTGGTCATTGCGAATGCCTCTGAGACAGCTCCGTTGTCCGTGACTCACGCCATCATGCCATCGTGGAGCTGACGCACCATCTGGGTGAATCATTCGGGACAGCCGAATTTCTGCATGATTTTCCAGTCTGTCACGGTTCACCCCGTCGAAGGTTTTTCTCAGGTTCACAAATGTAGAGTACAGGTGGGTCCGCATCTCTTGACACTTTTCCTGAAGTTGGCGGACGGCCAAGTTCATGTCCATAGTTTCACGATGACGGCGGAAGCCGCACTGGCTTTCCGGCAGGAAAACTTGCTCCAGACGTTTGCTCGGGCGGTTGAGAAGAATTCGGGTGAAGATCTTACCGACGATTTTCAGCAGGGAGATGCCTTGACGGTTGCCGCATATAGAGGTGGACGATTATGGTGTCCTTGATATTCTGCGGCATTTCTCCTTGATGCCACATCTCCTGGAAGAGCGCCCTCAGATGATCCATAAGTCGGGAGCCACCGTGCTTTTAGCTCGCGTCCGATCCGGGCGCTTTCTCGCTGAAGTACTGCCGCACGGCCCTGATGGTTTCGTGGAGAGAGGACGGGAGGTCGAGGTCGGCGTTGGTCTCCACTTTGGGTAAACGAGCGATGGCGGCGTCAGAGATGGTGGAGGGATGTTTGAGGACGTCTTTGAAGTGCTCGGCCCATCGCTGTAGAATTTGTCTCTTCTCAATGAGTAGGGTACTGCTATCGGCGCTGATAAGAGGAGCAGTCCCTTTGGTTGGCGCACCGTAGACAGTCTTGACCGCGAAGAATAAATTATTTCATTCGTTGCGATCCGTGTAACGTTGGATCTCCCCGGCCTTGCAATCCGTCCATGCGTCCTGCATCTCTCGCAGCCGCTGTTGCACAAGGCGACGATTACGGTAGAAGGCGACTTTGTTGTCGTCAGTGGGGCGGCCGACGTAGGCTTTGTGCAGGCGGTTCTTCTCGGCGAGCAGGTTGCTGATGGCGGCGTCGTTGGCATCGAAGCAGCCCTGGTGTTGGCGATGTGCGAGATCGAGGACAGCTAGGGCTGTCTACTGGACTGTGTCCTGCGGTTTATACCATCGGTTCTCCACGGAGGCGTTCTAGTCGGCGGCAGCGGTGGCGACTGCAATGTTCGCCAGCTTTCGGGCTAAATGGGGCCGGTGAGCAGGCAACGACAATAAAGCAATATTCAACTTGCTTAGGAGTCGCTTACCTTGAGGTCTCCTGCGAAGCTGTAGACGAATCCGCATCTTGGAGATAAAGGAATGGTCAGTCCACCCGTCAGCACTCGAAATCGCCTTTGTTCCCAGCACGTCCCGCTAGTCTTGCGTACGGACGAGGACACAGTCCATCAGGTGCCATTGTCGCGACCGAGGGTGCATTCAGGTGTCCTTCTCTCGTGTCGGAAGGTGGAAGGTGTTGGTCAGGACTAGGTGGCGTTCTGCTCTGATTTGTAGGAGGAGTAGGACATTGTCATTGGAGCCGCTGAAATCATGGGTGCCCAGCACTCCTCTTCAGTCAGCATGGTCTGTGCCACCGCGGACGATGAAGTCACCAAATATAATCAACTTGTCCGCTTTCGGCACAGTCGCCAGGAGGTGTAGCCGGTATCAGCATCCTCTAGTTGGCCTTGTTCGGAGAGGCGGTGCTCGCTGAGTGCAACGATATGCACCTTGTAGCGTGCCAGCTCTCGAGCCAATAACGCCGTCCTCCATTCCGATTGGTTGCTCCTGGGATTGTCTGAAAATCAACGGAAATTTCAGGCTGTCACAGTGAGCGGACTCATCCTACCGGTCTGACGAGTAAGACAGCGGGGAGGAGAGGGGAAAGAGAGATTGGTGATCAAAATTTTATTTTTTCGACCGCGAGTTTTGCGTCTGCAGCCAAGGTCAGCCTGCAGATGTCGTGAATCCCAGCATTTATTTAGGGTGTCTTTTCTAGCCATTTCCCCCTCGCGGGGGTCAGCGATGCTCTCTCTAAATGGGGCTGTTCAGTCATCCCAGACAGCTGCCGAATTCCACTACGGGCCATGACTTTGTTTAATGGGAGGACAACCCGAGTCAGCCTGGGACACCCTGCGACATTGCCGTAAGCTGAAGAGGAGGGGGTAGGGGATGGTAGAGAGAGGATGCAGAGCTTTCCCGTCATTCTCTATATTAACTGGTTGCTGAAATATAAGCCGTGAGCAGACGCAATCAACAGAAGGGCATTTAGCTTGCAGTAAGGACAGACACAAACAAGCAGACAAAAGCAAACAGGCAAGAACAGCAAAAACAAAGGCAACAGAGGAGTTTAAACAGAACGGCAGTTGGTTTTTAACACAGACTCGCCAATGAACATGGGCTACAAAATGAGGAATTACCTAATTTATAATACGAATTCATTACTACTTAATATTATTACGTAACATTTCAAGTCTCCATATGAAGCCTTCGGTGTCTATTTAGCTTAATATTTAGGCTTCCATATTTAATACGACTAGTTTATGACTTCGGAAGTTACCTTGCGGACAAATTTCGGGGGCTTATTTAGACTTTTACCATCAGTACACTCTAGTTTAAAAGTGCATACGGCACACTTGGCATCGTTAGAGTGTCTTAAGGGGTTCTTGTCGGACAAGCAGGCTTTTTGACAGCTGAATCAGCAGCACTTTGCTAGACCCATTCGTGCAATCACAGTGCAGTTTCAATGTTTCCAATACGAGCTTGTACCAACGCAACGAGTTGTGGCGCGAGTTAGCACATCACATTTGTCTCACAGCGGCAGTTACCACAGTGCTCTGAAGACTGCCAAGTTGCCCTGTAATACGTCAAGGAATTAATTAGGAAGTAAGGAATGAATGTGCAACATTACTTGCCCAAAATGCATAGAAGGTACTGCACTGCTTGTAGGATCGGACAAACGTTGACGGCGAACAAATTAAACAAGCTCATATTTGTTATCTCTATGATAAGCATAGATACTTCAGTATGAGTTTCGAATAAGCACGTTCACTTATCATATTTAAATAATTGCATCCAACCAATAAGGTGGTAGACTAATGCATACTAGCCTTGTTAATTTTCAACTCGGCTTTTGAGAGATGGCATAAAATGAGTTGTAGTACTACACGTTTTTAAGCACATTTATGACAACCCTGTTGTTGACAGTTCGCTAGTTCATTTTTTAAAAGCCGACGTTGAAGACCTATATTTTTGTACGCTTATGCAGCTGTCTTTTGAATTTGGAAGATCTGGATAATATTGAAAACTGTAAATCACCGAAAAGTCGGGAAATTTCCGAGTCTGACGAGTTTTCCAAAAGAAGCACGGCCTCCGATAATCCGTATTGGCGGACTGTCCACTGAATATCTGTGAGTACAAATTAAGCGTTGTACATTGGTGTGGTGATTCCGAATATATTCATTTCTCTTGAGAGCGGTGTGAAAATCGTTTTGTGAGTCTTCGCCAAGTTTTCTATGACACCGCAGATAAATTCTTTCACAGTCATCCACTGGTTGCCATATTTGCGGATACCCAGACTTCCGGCTTCTGAAATACCCAATATTAGTGTTCCAGAAACACTGGTCAGCAGTTGTGATCACGCCCATCTCCCATTTTCTTCGACGCAGTCCTGCCATTTGATCATTATGAGTGCGCAACGAGGGAGTGGAGTCGTTAACGCAAATAACTTTCTTAATTTCTCACCGAAGCCACCCGGAGTACTTGCCGACCTTGTCGAGGTCGGGTCCTTGGAAACGTCTGTGTTCCAGGGAGCAGCAAAAATCTGCCTTCTTTTTGTCAATGAATTCTATTTCGCATAAGTGACACCGGACCATTTGTTGAAAATTTGGGCATCCCGCTTGCACATTTGTCTTAACGTTAGTCGAGTTATGGGGATAGTGGAGAAATGGTTAATTCGAGGCCGCCAGTCGCGTCTAGCCAGTGATTGTGCCTAACATTTCGACTGTCACCAGCGACGATGCCCAACGTGTGTTCCTTAACATGGCAGGCAGAAGGACGGTGACTTGTGTGTGAAATAGTTTGCATTAATAGAGGACTAGTGCTGAATCCATCCCACTCTCTCTTCCTCACCCACCTGGGTCCAGCGTCGAAACAACGTCACAAAGACCGGAGGCGGGATCGGGTGAAGTGGGTGACAGAGCCAAACGGCCGCTCTATATGTGCTACAGCCGCTTGTTTCGCGAACAGTGGACAGTGCTTTCAGAGGAAAAAGGAGGCCCGGATCTCAGTCGAGTCAGAGTGCTGTAGAGGCCGCATAAAGAAGGATCGTTGCAGTCTGACTCCGCCCACCCCCCCGTTCTGCGAGGAGAACCAAATTACCTTGCTGGTTAACAGCCTTCCAGCCACGGTTTTTTGCTCACCGTGATAGTTTAAAAGAGCGTCGGATTGCTTGTAGTGAGGAATATGCGTTGAGTTCCGAGGGGATGGAGCACTCAAGAGTCGGCCTCTCTCTCTCTCTCTTGTTCTCTTCCCTCTTCCGGACACCAGTACACGGTCCGGGCGCGGAGATTCAACGCAAGCAGCTGGCATAGATAAAAACAAACAGCCCGTCGGTGCGTGCCACACATGACCTGTCACCTTTCAGCAACGCTCCGGGCTTTCACGCGAGGGGGAGTGGGGTGCTTGGATGTTGCATGCGTTAGAGTGACATAGAGGTCAAATGGAGGGGGAGCCGAAAAAGCCGCTCTCCGCTTGCGTGAAAGGTGTCTATCCCGTGCTCGCGGTGGGTGATAAGGGACAGGCTCGTGTATAATGCATGCATTGGTAGGCAGATACGTGGTGCTGGTGTTTGGTCTGCTGTAGCTTACTGCAGAAATTCATAGAGGAGCATTTGGCCGAGTAAACACATGCAGTGGCTGAATGTGCATAGGCAGTGCGGACAGTTGAGACGGGTGCGGTTGGTGAATGCCGGGGTTCCGGGCACTGGTTTGCCGGTCTCACTGGGATAGATTCGCAAATGACCGACATGATCGATGCGGGATGTGAAAACGCGATCGTAATGAGGAC